ATAACCCATAAGTTGGAAGAAAAACTTATACAAATTATATACCTGAAAGAAGATTTGTATCCAGAAGAACACAGAACTCTCAAAACTCAATCATAGGAAAACAAGCAAACCAATTAAAAATGGGCAAAATATTTAAACAGGTACTTCAACAAAGAAGATATACAGACGGAAAACAAGCACGTGAAGAGATGCTCAATGTCATTAGTCATTAGGGAAATTCAAACTAAAGCCACAATGAGAAACCACTACACACCTATTAAAATTGCAAAGATTAAAAAGACTGACTATATCAAGTGATGGCGAAGAAGTGCAGCAACTGGAACGCTCATGCACTGCTGGTGGGAATGTACAATAATACAACCCACTTGGGAAGAAGGGTTGACAGTTCCTTAAAAAGTTAAACCTACACCTACCATACCATGATCAGCCATTCCATTCCTAAGTTTACCCAAGAATAAAGAAAGCATACATTCATACAATGACTTGTAGGCAGGTCCACAGCAGTATTATTCATATTCATAATAGCTACAACATAAATATTCAACAGACACATAGATAAACTGCAATATATCCTTTCAGTAGAATACCACTTAAAAACAAAAAGACAATGAACTACAGAGGGTACCCAAAAAATGTATACACATTTTCTTTTTTTAATTTTTTTTTTAGCTGAGCCATCCTGCCACCTGTTGGCAGCTCAGTGGCAGCTCAGCTCGGGCCGGGAATTGAACTGGCAACCTTGTTGCTCAGAGCTCACACTCTTGAGTAAGCTCTTAACCAACTGAGCCACTCAGCCAGCCCTGTATACACATTTTAAAAAAGGAAAAAAAACTGTATTAAAATTGTAATATTCAATATATACTGATAACAAAAGATGAATACAAGTCATGTGTATACATTTTTTGGCACCCCCACATATATAAAATGGAACATTATTCGGCCATAAAAAAAGAGAGATGGAAAGCCTGCCATTTGTGACAAAATGGATGGACCCTGAGATCATTATGCCAAGTGGAATAAGTCAGAGAAAGACAAATACTGTATGATCTCACTTATACATGGAATCTAAAAAATAAAAAATCTAACTCATAGATATAGAGAATAGATTGGTGGTTGCCAGAGGTGGCGGGTGGTGGTGGAGAGGGGTGGAGGGGGATTGGGGTAGAGGTAGGGCAAATGGATGAAGGTGGTCAAAAGGTACAAACTTCCAGTTATAAGATAAATAAGTCCTGTGCATGTAAAGATGCTAAGAGAGTAAATCTTTAAAGTTCTCATCACAAGGAAAAAAACAAATTGTAACTGTGTTACAATTAACTAAATTTATTGTCTTGATCATTTTGCAATATACACATATCAAATCATTATATTGTATACCTAAAACTAATACAGTGTTATAAGATTGGATGACAGGTACTTAACATTTATTTCAAGGAAACAATGTTTGATTTCATGACTACATGAAACATTTTGCTATTTTTTAACATATCCCAAGGGTGAATCGCTTAAACTCATTTCCTGATGGTGGAAAGAAAAATGCATTCCAAGATTTTGATTTCGACATCTTAAAATATGTAGTTAATAAAACCTTTCTTGTCACCATTAGAAGTAGCTATTACATCAACTTCTTGCTTTAAAATTGATAATTAAGCAGAAATAAATAAGTTAGCCTTTATCCTACCTTTCCTATAAGAATTGAATTGTAGGGCAGTCAAATGGTTCTAGGTGATGAAGAAAATTTATTCCTTGCATAAGCTCTAGCTAATATGCGAAGAATGAAAAAGAATAAGAAAACTACTTTTTCTTCTTTTTTTTTTGCAGTTTCAAATAAAACAGTTAATTCAGGCAAGAGTCATTAATAGACTTAAACTGCTAGGTGAAGGGGATACTTCTGTTTGCATCATGCCCATTAGCACCCCTCAGATTACTTCCTACCTGGACTACTGATCACTCACACACTAATAATGGGACAACTAAACATTACGTGCATACTGACATAATGCAATGTGAAGCACACAGCAGCACCTAGGAAGAGGTCGTGCCAAAAAGGTCTCATGTAAATCTAATCAAGACTTTAGCTCTAACTTCCATTTTAGAAAAAAATGCAGGGGGTTGGGGAGCAAATTAACACTACAAAGAAGCAATGGGGAGGGAGGCAGCCAAGTGGCTTAGTTGGTTAAGAGCCCAGCTCTGAGCAACAGGGTCACCGATTTGATTCCCACATAGGCCAATGAGATGGGCCAGAGCTGAGCTGCCACTGAGCTGCCAATAGATGGCAGGATGACTCAGCTGGTGAGAGCACGTGCTCCCAACAACAAGATTGCTGGTTCGACTCCCGCATGGGATGGTGGGCTACACCCATCCGCAACTAAGATTGAACACAGCACCTTGAGCTGAGTGGCCACGAGCTGCTGACCAGCAGCAGGATGGTGACTGGACTTGGAGCTGAGCTAGCTGTGCCCTCCACAACTACGATGGAAATACAACAACTTGGCTGTCCCCCTTCCCCAATTCCCCAATAAAATCTTTAAAAAAAGAAGAAGAAGAAGAAGAAGAAGAAGAAGAAGAAGAAGAAGAAGAAGAAGAAGAAGAAGAAGAAGAAGAAGAAGAAGAAGAAGCAATTGGACAAATGCAAGAAGAAGAAGAAGAAGAAGAAGAAGAAGAAGAAGAAGAAGAAGAAGAAGAAGAAGAAGAAGAAGAAGAAGAAGAGGAAGAAGAAGAAGAAGGAGAAGAAGCAGCAGCAATCGGACAAATCCTAGCGGTGAGATCTTACAGGACAGATAACCTGGCTTCTTCAATATTCCATTGATAAGAAACAAATGGGAGAGCACTGTTCTGAATTAAAAGACACATAAAAACTGAATGCAACCCAAGGGTCTTGTTTGGATCCTGGTTCAAATAAATCACCAATAAAAGTGTGTTTGGGTCATACTCTAAGATATGTGATTTGGGGCCAGCCAAGTAGTGCATTGATTAAGAACTGGCTTGGGATGCCAGAGGGCCCCAGTTCGGATCCCACATATGAGGGCCAGTGACACTGCCCTCTGCAGCTAAGATGGTGAATGGCAGCTCGACCTGGGGCTGGGCTGCTGTGGGTTGCTGGCGTTGGCTAGGCTGCAGTCCCCTGCTGCAGTGGGTTGCCATAAGCTACCATGTATAGCCAGCAACCAGCGTGAGCGGCCGTCCAGAAGCCGGCAACTGATCTGCCTCACCCGGGAAGAGCGCAATGATGGTGCCAACTTGGGCCAGTGAAGCAACATCCTCCACAACTAGACTGAAGAACAAAACAACAGCAACTTGTCTGTTCCCCTTCCCCCAATTCCCCAGCACTGTTCCCCTCCCCCAATTCCCCAATAAAATCTTTAAAAAACAAGAAATGTGATTTGTTTAAAAATATGTTTTGCAAAATAATAGATAAAACTAATATGGCAATTTGCCATAAACCCAGGTAATGCACATATGGGAGTTTATATCCTTCTCTCTACTTCTCTGTATGTTTGAAATTTTTCATAATAAAATTTCCAAAATACATGATAACATGAAATAATTTGCTCCTGGTAACACACATGTCAAACGCATGAAATAAAAGCATTGAAAAAATGAATTGTCTGCCGAGCTACTGTAGCTTGACTCAAATTAGAAATCGTCGGCCATGTCCAAGTCACTAGCCCATTCTCACTCGACACTTGTGTCTCCCCAACTCACTTTGAAGCATGTGTTAAGCAATTTCCTTCACTTCTGAAGTCTCTCACTTGTGAAATGAGTACAGGGGTAGCCCCTACCTCACAGGGTTGCTGTGAAGATTTCATGGGTTAATGCAAGTAGGGACATGTAGGGTGAATTGCTTCCCTTCTGGGTGACAGAGTGGAGACAGTCACTCCACATGTATTTATTTTGTTCCCTCCACGGAACAGGCACATGCTGGGCGGTCCCTCACTGAGCTTGTGGACAAGGATGGCAATACAGACCTTTCTCAAGTAACCACAGACATACACAAATACAAGCAATGACAAGTGCCATGCAAGAAAAGCACAGTGGGCCATCAGAGGGGTGCTGATTGATCCACAGGAAGTCAGTCTCCAAGTTCAAGCCATCAAAGCCGGCAGCACAGCGGTTAAAGCAGGGACTCTAGGAAGAATACTTGGGTTGGCCCCCAGCTCCTCTGCTTCGCCTCCAACTAGCTGGGTGACCTTGAACAATCTCCTTCCCCTCAGTTCCCTCACCTGTAGCAGTGCAGGAACGAACAGTCCTTAACTGCTAGGACTGTCATGAAGATGACACGGTTAACAGTGTATGATGCTTAGCATAGGACCTGACACGCACTAAGCCCACCGTAAGTGTGTCTGTTATTATCCCAGTGGTCCTTTGGTCCGGAGCAAAACGGAGTGTAATATTGTCAACCCCGTCTCAGTTTGGCCTGTGAGAATTTAATGAGTTAATGCTTTGAATTTCCTTTTTCAGTAAGCCCTAGCTAGAGTCACTTGGAGAGATGGGTAAAAAAATAAAAATAAAAAATGAATTATATATAATTTAAAAATATATATTACACACACACACACACACTGATGCACAGGATCCATTTTGAAACAAAGGAACTAGGAAGTCTAGGAATAGAGCCTGGGAGTCCATATGTTTCAGAATCTCCTTCTGTAATTCTAATATGCAACCAGGGCTGGGAACCACTGATCCAGGCAATCAAAACGTAAACCGATTTCAAAAGTGTAAACCTCTCCAGCGCAATGAGTTTACTATTACTGTTACTGTTATTTGCCTCAACAGTGTACAAGCCCTGATCTGATCTTACAGCATGCAAATGTTAGTCTTCAGAAGAGTTTTAAGTTCCTAATAATTCTTCTCTCTTCTCATACCATCCCCCATTTCTCCAAAAGCAGAGCAAACATCCAGACAAAAAGCACTCAGGTAAGACACTCTCCCCCCCCCCGCCCCCCCAACCCCATTTGTGACTGGCCCCTGTGTGTTTCTACGTTTCTACGAGAGCTTACCTTGGGAACCGGCTAGAACACACTCCCGGGGGGAATTATTTACAGATCGAGGCCGCCCAACCCAACCCAATGTTTGGAGCAGTCTTCTTTGCAGCCAAGCACCTTTCTGCATCCGGGAGGTCTTAAACACGGAAAAGCTAACGCGGCTATTTGTCACAAGGGTGGGGAGAGGAAGGAATCAGGTGTTTAAAATCTGGGCATTGTTCTTCCATTTATAAGCCGACCATTCATAAAACGAGTTTACCAACTTTTGAGGAGCGAAAATGCAATGTTCTATAGCTCGATTGGGTCGTGGTACGTTTGTGTGTATACATTGGCCAAAGTTCATCGGGGCTGCACACTTATAATCTGCCTTTCGTTGTAGGTAAGGTACGCCTCAATTTTAAGAAAAATAGCACAAGGGAAATAAAAGTTGGCAAACAGTCGTTCGCTACGAGGTTCACATGGGGAGAGAAACCGAAGAGGAGAGTCCCAAGTTAGCTCCAAACGCCCTCTTTGACCTGCCCGCTCTGGCTTACAGGGGAAGGAGGGAGAGAGGGTCTAACTAAGCACGTCCTTGGACAAGGACTGTCGAGGAGGGAGGAGACAGAGCGCGGTGCACCGCAGTGTTCTGCCTGGATCTGGCGCAGAGGGGAGCGCGCGGGGTCCTTACCCAGCAGCAGGAAGGACAGGACCCACTGTAACACCGCCGCTGTCTGCAGTCGCCGCTCCAGCGGGATGTTGAGAGGCGCAAACTCTACCTTCATGATCCCGCCCGGGAGAGGACAGCCCGCGGCCGCCTGGAACCTCTCTGCTCCGCAGCGCTTGCGGGAAATGCACGGCCGGATACGGGCCCCGCGAGGGGAACCCGCGGAGCAGAGAGGAGAAGGAGGCGGCGGCCCTGGAGCGGGCGGGGGCTGAACTTTGTCTTTGGTGGGAGGACGCGCCTGGGCCGGGGCTGGGGGCTGCCAATCACGCGCGCCCGCGCCCGGGAGCAGCTGGCGCGCCCAGGGCGCATTGGCTGGCTCCCGGGAGCGCCTGTAGAGCGCGCCTTGTTGGGCACAAGGGACGCCGAGAGGGATCAGCTGGCTGCCCGCAAGAGCTCGGCAGCGTGGGCTTCTGCAACCCTGCCCAGGCCTTGGGATCTCCACCGGGATCTGATTACTGTTCGGCTGATCGATCACCGTGCGCTCGGCTTCAGCATCCGCCTTTAAACCCACCCCTTCCTCTGAACCCTCTGCTGCTGGAGAAGCGTTAGTTCAAGAAATCGCCCACCAGCTGGATTTCGATTCTCTGGGAGCAGGGCACTCACATGTCTATTGGTCTGTGACCCCCACAATACCCCCAAACTCGAGTGGAGGGGGGTGAGTGTCCTCAGATTCCTACCTGAGTCCTGGAAATCTTCACTTATTCGTTCAACAGACATTTGAGTACCTACCACGTGCCAGGAACCATTCTAGGGGCTGGGGAGAGTAATCAAGTCACTCATTGATTCTGCTAGTAGAGTGCAAATGGGAGGTGACAAACATAAGCAAAATAACCACACAATTGGGTGTATAATTGCGAAGTCAAACCCTCCTATGAATGGCTGGAAGAAGGTTCTAGGACTGAGGCTGGAAAGTCAGGGAAGTCTCTGAGAAAGTAACATTGACTTGAACTGTAAGTTTGCATCTAGTCCTGGTGAAGGGAAGCGTATGTGCAAAGGTCTTATGTCCGAAGCTCAAAGGAGACCAATGGTTCAGGGAACAAGGAGAAGACGGAGGTGAGATGAGCAAAAATAGGGTCCAAGGGTCAGATTCTTGCAGGCTGTGATTAGAGTTCAAGCCTTTCACCCAAGACTTGCCACTGAAGGGTTTCAATTATGACATGTTAAATAGATGGACATGAGCACCCACTACATTTTCTTTATAAATATTAATTATTATAGAGTTGAAAAACTCCAGTTGGCATGAGGCTGTCAAGTCATTGCTAGAAGGAATTTGGAACAGGGCAAAATACAGTCATGTGCCATTTAATGGGGGGGTGGGGGTGGGGGTGGAGGATACATCTGAGAAATGCATCATTAGGCAATTTTCTAGTTGTGTGAACATCATAGCGTATACTTAACACAAACCTAGATGGTATATAACCTGCTTACCATAGACCTAGGCTATGTGGTACAGCCTATTGCTCTGTAGGGGAGGAAAAATCATTTTTCCTCTACCCTTCTGGGTTCTTGGCTAAGACATCCCCGTAATAAGACAATAGGAGTAAAACAGAAGTTTAATGACATGTATACCTCCTGTACACATAGGAGAGACCCAGGAACACTGAGTAACACACCCAAATGGCTGAAGCCACCACCTTAAATACCATCTTCCACTGAAGACAAAAGAGGATGTTAGGGGTGGAGGAAGTCAGTCATAAGAGGTTACTAGGAAAAGCACAGTAAACAAGTGTAAGGTTGTTATACAGATTTAAGTAGTTGCCTCTTGCATTAATAAGTTTCTAGAGATAAGGTCACCCCTCACCCCTCTTCCCGGTACAGTGAGGGAGACACTCTTATAAATGGAGATTTCCCTTACAAGCGTAACTTCTACTTGGTTTTCAGAGCTTCTCCCAGGCCTGTTGTTTCTTGCCATTAACCAGCCTACAACAATCCTTATGCCAATGAGACATGTTTTGGGGTGAAAATTCTGTTCTCCTATTGCTCCTAGGCTACAAACTTGTATAGGATGTTACTGTACTATAAACACTGTAGGTAATTATAGCACAATGGTAAGTATTTGTGTAATGTGTTTTCCTACCATATTAGAGTTAATTAAGTGATACAAATTTTTCAGCTCCATTATAATCTTACACCACCACTGTTGTATATATGGTCCTTCATTGACCAAAATGTCGCAGTTATGCCATGCCCCCTTCTCCTTCAACATTTTCATTAAGAGAAATGAATACCGAGATGGGGTAGTTCACAGAGTTGCTTGTGACCTTTTGCATGCGAAACTTTTGGGGTTCTTTTCCTAGTTGAGGAGTCAATTTCTTTTCCCCTGAACCTTCCCGTAGTGTTAGGTGGGGATAGTGTGAGTACACACCACGTAAGACATTGTGCAAAGCTTTTCACAGACCTGAGCTCATCCGAGAGCAACCCTAAGAAATAAGCATTACTTCCAGTTTTGCCGCCCAGAATGTCCAGGCTCCAAGTCACACAGCTGGCCGAGTAGAAAAGATTTAAATACAGTTTTGTCTCCAACCTGGAGAGGAGAGCCTTCCCTTCATCAGTTGAATGGAACATGGAGCACACATTTATTGAGGACCTGCTTCGCATCGGGCATGCCCCTTGGTGCTGATGACACAAAAGTGAATTAAGATGTGGTCTCTGAGCCTTTGAGAAGTCACAGCATTTATTCCCTGACAATTTTGGAAAGGCTTCTATGTGTTGGCACTAGGCGGGGAGTGGGGATGGACTACAATGGTGAATAAGAAAGGTGTTTGTCCTCATGGGGTTAATAATCTAGTGGGAGAAACAGAAAATAACCACATGGATGTATAACCAAATGTGTGATATCACCTATTTAGATCAGATTGGAGGTAAGAAGAGTGGAAGTAGAGAGATCCTAAGGAGGTTATTGAAGAGTGAGAGTAGAGGGTGGTGGTTTGGTCTACAAGGTACAAAGGAGAATAGAGATGGGTTTGGGATCTACACAGGGGATGTAAATGATAGGAGTGGTTGATAAATTGGATTCACCATCAATTGGTAAATAAGAAAAGCAAGACAGCCAACTCTTAGTCCTAATCACTTGGAGTTTACTGGAATCATGCTTTTGTCACTTTCCTGGAGCCCTTAGCTTGTAGAAAATACCTGTTCTCTCTCACCACAGCCCATTAAACCAAAGCATGGACCCTCTGGGGCTCAGGCAATGCAATAGCCCATCACCATTTTAATCAACAATGAACTCACTCATTTGTTTGATATCAACACATGTTTGTGTACATATTGTGTCCCAGGTTATTGCAGTTAAATGATTATTGGAATCAAAAGGTGGGAAAGTTTTAACTCCTCAGGCTATTCAACTCATCTATATGAGTTTAGTTGATGTCTAGAACTAAAACTAACAGGAAAACATGAACCTTGGACATTATCTTTGCAAACCACACATTTCATGGGATAGGGAGCTGAGAGCAGAGAAGGTAAGTGATTTGCCCAAGATAACCCAGGCAGTTAACTGGTGGGCAGGAGACCAGGGTCTCTTTACATCTAGAAGCACTAAAACAGATAAGGAGAAGCAACACGGAATGGGTTAATGGTTTCAAACTGATTCTAGCCACGGGATTTTTTTTTAATTTTTAAAGCATTCTAGTTTCTAAAGAAATCCAAGTGAAACTGCTTTTGTTGAATAGGAATGGGGAACCTGACTCCCCCTTCCTCAGCATCTTCCTCCTTCCTGGGGTGATTGTATTTTTAGCAAAATGGAATAGACATCAAATAGGTACAGAAATTCTGAGGGTTCAACAAAACCCAGGTTGAAAATCACTGCGTATTTGCTCTTTTCTTTCTCTTTTCACTTTTGTGGATGGGGGTGGGTTGGAGAGAGGAAGGCAGCCTAATAGTTGGAGAAATACTTGTTTGAATGGGGTTACAGTTAAAAAATAAAACATAAGTGATACATCAACATTACTGAGTGCTTACTACCTGCCAGGTACTGTGCTACCTGGTCTGATTTAAACCTCACAACAACCCTCCAGGGCAGATGCTATTATTCCTTTTATTAAAGGTCAAGCTAGTTGTTCACCTAGTAAGTAGAAGAACCAGTTTCCTGTTGTTTGGAAAATAGGTCTGTCTGTTTCCAGAGCCTGAGCAAATAGCTGCCATGCTGAGCTGTCTCTCAAATGATATCACCAGGAAGGAAGGGAATGTTGTTGAAACTGAGGAAAGAGTCACAGAACAGTGGGCAGAATGCAGGGGACCAAATTTGTCATAGCTTGGGTTGGGGTTACTTATTCATTCAATTGACAAACATTTACCAATCACATACTATGTGCTTGGCATTAGACACATATGAGTAATAAAATATACATATATTTTTAATACGGTAATTCAAGAAAAAGTGTCAAACACCCCTGCTGTGGCAAGTGCTGAGGAGGGCATGGTGGTAGGAAACCAAGACTCTTGAAGATCTGAGATTCCACTAACCAAAGGTGATTCCTCTTTCTACTTCTCAACTCTAAGTAAGGAGGTGACAGTTCAGATTGCCCCATAGATTACAAAAGCCAACTCTGGAACATGAATAATTTAAAATCACTTCCTTGTTTTACTTTTTTTTTCCCTGTGCATTTTACCATAGCTAACGTCTACTAGCAAGAAGATAATGTTTTTCTATAACATGACATTTGACGGTAACTTAAGTTA